ACACACACACACACACACACACACACACACACACACACACACACACACACACACACACACACACACACACACACATATGTTATATACCAGCTCATGCAAATTCTATTTTTATGAACCTAAGCGTGTCTAAAGGATTAAGGACGAAAGAAAAAAACCTGATGAGACTGCTGATAAATGCAGCACTTTTAAACACAAGCGAGGAGATATTCTGCAGGGGAGTTAAAATGGGACCAGAAGAGCACAAGTCAACAAAGAAAAACACGATGCCTCTTAAAAAGTGGAGGGAACAGGACAGGCACGGTGGCCGMCGTTGGTGTCAGAGCTAAATGTGATGCCAAGATCACCGCTTGGTCCCCCCAGCACCTCCTGCCTTGCATGTCATAAAACCAGGTGGAGCTCTGCTCAGCCAACCAAGCCCGTATGGTGATGTCACCTTCCTCGACCAAAAAATCCGTTAATGGGGTTTTGCCTTGGTCCAGCTCCAGGTCTATTTCTGGAGGCACACTGAAGCCAACTGAACAAAGACAAGCTGGATCATTACTGCACCACACCTTGTCTTTTTTATCACTGAGGAAAGTAAAGATATTAAACCATCATAAGAGAATATGCTTCTTTGTTTTTCTTTGACTATACTCAGTATTGAGATCAAACAATTGCATAAAATTTTGATATTTTAGAGTTATGCAGATATTAGAATAGATCAAACTAATTCTATATTCTCAAAAGCCTGTAAGCATCAGTAGAATTTTAATGTAGTAGTTGTTAACAGCTCTTCAGAAATGTGTATATTCTTCTAAATACCTTCCAGRGACAGATATCCATACACTAAGATAAGGTTAAATGTGGTTTTAGGAGTTAAACTGTTGATTTTGCGCCTGTTTTATTGCATTTACACCCTCACCTTCGTGTAGATATCTACATAAGCTCCCAGCCCTGGCCCTTTAACTGCAGCTGTTCTTATCTGCAGAAGGAAAAGCAAAAACAAACTGACACCAAACTCGACCCCCCCCCCCACCCTCCCAACACGCCTCAGGGTGACGTACTTCAGTTTCCAGTGCAATCTATCATGCCACTCCCATAATCATGCCTCGCACTCGAGTGTTGGAACAGATAACTGAGTATGTTGACCGAAGTCAATGTGGAAATAAGTTACCACTTTACAAGTTATAAATACCTGATAGGCCTTTCATGCTCCACTTGCTTTCTCTTATCAGAAAGAAATAAAACTTTATTTTATATCTGATGTGTTCTTCGTTCGGCAGAGCAGAAAATAAAACCGTGACTCTTGTACCCATTGATATCTATAACAATTTTAAAAAAAGTCTTGTTTGTTATAATTTATTTTTTGTTCTTAATGAGCTTGTGCTTATCTCCAGTGATCAGTAGGTGAGAGGTCAGGGACGCCCTGGTGTAAATACCCAGAGGTAAATAGTCACAAAGTGCATTTACTTTAGTAATATTTTAAGAGTTTGTAATTTCATCAAGTATTTTTTTTTAAAAATCATTACTTTTAGTTTGTTACATTTAAAATATGAAAATTACACTTTTACTTCTTTACTTTGAAATTTAACATCTCATTACACGCAAAAAGATTCAAAGACTCAAAGTGTTTATTGTCATATACACAGATGAAAACATTTCCCTGAGTAATGAAATTCTTACTTTGCCGACCACTTTGAATGCCGAGAGACAACCATACTTTAAAKAATAAGCACTAAAAGGACACTAACAAGGTAATAAGGGATAAAGGATAAAAAAAGACCACACTTTGAACAAAAAAAGACCAAACTAGAGATAATAACATCAGAAGGGAACAATTCAATAATAGCATCAAGAAAGGGAACAGTACAATCAGACAACAAATTTAAATATGATCATGAAAGGGGTTGTTTATGCACTCTAAAAATGAGGTGCAGTAAAGTCATTTTCTTTGAAAGTAATCGTGAAAGTTGCTATACATTTACTCAACTCAGCTGCGTGGAAATTTTTGACCGAACTTGGTCAAGTAAATCCAACAATCTGTTGCTTGAGTGCACCTCTGAAAATACCAGGTACATTTCTTCAACTTCTAAACACATCAATGCAAAGACTTGAAATCATAGTTGAATACTGAACAAAACTAAACAAGCAAAAATAAGCTATAAATAAAATACATTTTTTTATTATTTTGCTGTTGAAGTTGGATACCAAAATGTTTTAAGATGTTTTAAGATTAAATTAATCTAAGTATTCACAGAAACAAAAGTTATGAGCAAAGGTGCCATAGCTTTGCATGCCACTATGTGTGTGTGTGTGTGTGTGTGTGTGTCCTCCAATGAGACAGGAATCTTCTGAATTCTCTAGCCTTCACACCCCAGAAGAGACTGATTTGTAATCAGGAGAGATGCCAGGGCGCTCATGGACAGACTGGAGGAGAAATCTGCATGAGAAATATACATACATACATACATANTATATATATACAGTATATTCTTCACACAAATAAACAAACAATAATAAAAATGCATCTGTGCACCTTCTGTACTTGCTCTGAGTGGGAAAAAGGAAAGTTGTAAAACACACTTCAATCTCCCTGGGGTAAATATATATTTATTTCTTCAGTCTTTCTCTATAGGGTACATGTCAACATTAAGTCTTTTCTGGAGCTGAGAAAACATAAACATTGCCTTAAAAAGAAAAAGAAAAAAACATTTTCTGTCTACTTTCAGTCAGGTTGGACTTGTACTTTGAACACTTTCATGAATAATATTTGCACATATTAAAAAAAGAAACAGGAGATGACCAGCCACCTCCAAGTCATGAAATGTGCACTTTGTTTCCTTACACTTGGGATGGGAGCGTGCAGGACGGGGCTGTTCTGCCAACAGACTTCATTTATGCTCGAGTTCTTAATGGAGGCTCTTTTTCTCTGTCGCTTCTGATGTTGGCAAACATTGCCTAGATTCATGTGGATCAAGTGGGACAG